ACAGTGACAGTTGGATAACTCAATATCCTCTCTACAGGGGAATAGTGAAATGGGTAAAATTGTTAGCAGAACATGTGGACTGATTATTATAATAACAATAGCTCAGTTGTAAAAGGTTGACCGGAAAGTTCTGCTTTTATGATTAATTCTGAGAACCAAGTTTACATAAATATAAGTGTATTTAAATAAGGGAGAACTATCTAAAAATGTAATAGTTATTATGCTAACACTTTGTTTCAAAACTAAAAATAAGTATTTCTATTTCTTTTCTGTTGTAGTTCAGGTTGCCTAGAAGAGATCGCTACTTCTCTATAAGGCCGCCATTTATTTATAATTTAGTACGTAAGTTTTTTTTCCTTATTAATATGCAATTTCTATGGCGTTTTTTATAAATAATAAAGCAAATTAATTAAAAACGTTTTAATTAAAACAACGCTTTTTAATAATACAATGTACCAAATATTCTCATGAGAGAGAAAATCGCAACACTACGGCACCCTTAACACGTCATACGCGTCACTTGTGGCTTTTAATGTAAAAGCTATTTTGTGTTCATCAAATACCCATAGGGAAATATCGCTTTGCAATCAATCAAAATCATGATAATTGTACAAGTGGCCCATTCTGTCTCGAACTGACATCTAGTGCGATGTATTCTCCATGGCCACAGCACTTTGTTTATATTACCTTAGAAATACGCTTCGTAAATATAATATTAAACGACTAAGTAGTTATGTATTTATTAAGATGAGTTATTTTAAGATAGAAATATGTTTATTTAAAAACAACACAAGAAATTTAACAAACAAAAAAATAATAAAACATTAAATATATATTGTTTAGAAAAACTCAACGTGGACCCGATGGGAGTCAAACTCACGACCCGTTCATTGTTATCTTTAGACTAACGGGTCCGTCCCTTTTTTTTGTTTTCAATTGGAGAGTGACCAGGATAGGTTTTATATATTAGGCATATTCTTTTGTGTGCCATTTTTATAATATGATTAACGTTTGTAAAAACACATATTGCATTCTTATTTTAATTTACATATCAAAAAGCACAAAGCATAACTTAACCTACTAACTTAAAACTGAGAACGAATGTGAGGTGAACCGAGTAGAATTGGCGAGCTGGAAATGCATATTGCAGAAAGTTTTGATAAATTATTTCTCGTATTACTTACTAGCAACTAGGAATTGGCAACCTTTATAAGTTAGTTTTACGAGAGTTTCTTTTCTTCTTGCCTGTTCTTAAACGTTATTGTGTAACAAAATCCATAATAACAAAGAATTTAACAAAGATTACTTATTTAAATAAAACACTGTAACGGTTTAAAACGCGATATATTAGCTAAACTTATTTGAAAATGATTTTTAACTTCGGCCCGACGTTTACGTGTCTCCCCGTGACTACGGTTGCTGCAAAGCATCCGAAACGTCGAGCCGAATTTAAAAATCATTTTCAAATAAGTTGAAATAATATATCGCGTAAACTATTGACAGTATTTGAAGATTACGTAGTGGACTAAAAAATGCATATTAAGATTATAAGACGTTTGAGAATTATTCTGCACTATTAAAACATATCTGAGATTCTTTCAAGCCGAAACTTATCTACTTAGTAATTATACATATTAATTTTGCTCTAAATCTTGGGTAGTATGGTGGTATCTTAGTCTATCCATTTTTGAAGGAGGCTAGGATGCTAGAACTGGGCTAGCACTAAACTTATATTATGTAGAAAGTTTTAGTCTATTAATTTGTAAACTTTTGACTTATTGGGCGACATAACCTAATCAGGTTAAAGCCTTTTAAATACAGATAAAAATGCTCTATTGCTATCTATATGCTAATTTTCTCTATCGTGACTACTATTTATCTAATCATCTTTTTCCACAGATAGCAAATAATTTAATTAAACATCATTTTACCAAAGTTATATAGGTAATTAGGTACTAGATTGTTCAAAAGATCGCAAACCATCGTAAGTTGTTTGAACAAAGTTTAAGCGCTTCATAAATTCCTTTTAAGCCTTAAGTGTAGGTGGTCGATAGTAGGAACCGTACGAACTAGTTTAACTTTGAATATTATAATAACTTTCCTGGTTTTTAAGAAAACTGATAGGTATAAAAAGTAGTTTAACTATATTTGTAACTATATTGTTGTGTATATGTAACTATATTTTTTTTTGGCATCACAGATTAATATTTTATTTAAAGAGAATGTTGAATTTTTGCGAGTTAAGAACATATATTATATTAATAATACGATTTTTTTAATCGAACCTACGAACAAAGACGAACCGCTCATTGTTTTATAAACTCAGTTGCTTTTATTTTGGTAAAATTATAACATTACAATTTTTACTATGAAAGCATAAAATTTTCTAAAATTAGTACAAATGTTTTCATGCTACCGTACGTCCCATTGATTTTCTTAAGCTTATTGTGTTTAAAGCAGACAAAACAGAGAAAGTTTTACTTCTGTTACAAAGAGGAGAATTTTAATTTTTAATGTGCATAGTAATATTCTCTGAGAACGAGAAATGGGGACACGAAAATGAAAGCTTCCGAGATACAGACTGAACACTATTTCTATATTCTCTCTTGTGGGTATATGAGATAGCTTTGGTAATAGACTGCATTTACCATGTATTAATAATTAACGCAAAGTTTAGATACATTTAGCACTTACCAGCACTGCAGTAATTTCTACTCATATATTTATTTCTATACAGCAAGCTTGTGGTTGCAATGAAGGATTAATCTATACTAATATATAAAGCGAAGAGTTTGTTTAAACGCGCATATCTCAGGAACTAATGGTTCGAATTGAATTTTTTTTTTTTTTTGTTGTCTAGAGCATTTATTAAAGAAGGCTTTAACATTGAGCTGTGGCCAATAGAAGCGAAACGGCGGGCAATATGGAAAAAAACTGGGAAATTTATTCAATTTTGTGGGTTTCCGATGCGTAAGCTGCGAAAACGGTTCAGGATACCAAAACATGTGCATGAAATAATGATTCGTCTTTATATGACCTATAAAATGTTCGCGATACTATATGTCTATTTTTTTATTTTTAATTTGCAAGAACGACAGGACGCGATCGGCGTCATGGGTAAAAGCTTAAATTTATAAAGATTAAGAGAAGGTTTGTAAAAACAAATTTGGTTAACCAAAATAACTACGCGGACAAAGCCGCCGATACAGCTAGTAAGCAATATATAACAAATCCAGACAATATATCATGTTTTCAAGTTATATTCCGATTCTCAACATGAGATGTCATCGGAAAAATTTGGACATTACATTGATATATTGAATAATAATTTTAATATTGTGAAATGTATATTGACATTTCAGTTATTTACGAACGTCCAATTGGTGGACAACGCATCGTAGGAGAGCATTTAACTTTCTATCAAGTAAATCCCAACTTAGCAGTCCACCATCATAAATAAATGCCATAAGATTACGGCTTTCCGTAAAATTTAGGTTCAGAGCAATTAGGTTTAAGAAGATTACGTGTTCTGTCCCTGTTTGCGGAACAATTCATCATATTATGTTTATAGATTTAACGGTTCACGTGAATTTGTGCCGTAATAGATTATAATAGAATCCGATATTCTATGAAACCTAAGCACATTCATGTGATATGTAGGCCATATTAATGTTGGGATGTGTGTTAATTTTAATTGCTCGTTGTTGACGCGCAGTTCGCTCGATTAGAAGAAAATTAGACATCCATTGTGTCACTTGAGAACACATTGAATTTTATAAATGTAATACATAATACGTTACACGTTGCGAAGGTTTATGGTTCGAATCTCTAATAACAATAGATTGTTTCGATTCTTTCGGAAATTTGAGATATTAAATCAGCTACTTGCCTGTGAATAAAAACGATCTTGTGACGATCTCTGATAGGTGAAATGCCACAGCTCTATATGATCTAATTAAGATGTGCTGTCGAACTATTTTAGCTTTTGACATTCAGAAATCCACAGACCGAATCAAAAACGCAAGCATACAGCTGTTCCATCATCGTTCGTTATCTGGACAGAAATGAGAAATTCCTAAGATGGGTAGATATTCAGATTTTCCAGACGAAAATAAAAAATTTAAAAATTTTGAAAATCGAACTCGCAACCATCGTTAATTGAGGTCGTACTTTATCAATATACCAAACGATACGATTCAATCGTATTATGCTAGTATAAATAATGTTGTTTAACTTGTACTACGCTTCTAATTGCTTTGTTTATCTCCAGAAAACCCTATAATGAATCCTTTGTTATTCTTAGCAATGCTAAGTGATCAAGCAACGTTGCAGTTTTTCTTAAACCTTAATGTTTTCCCCTCCACAATGCTGCTTTTAAGGAGTAGCGATTTATTTTAGGGGTAAAAAACACATTGCTTGTTCATTCCCTTCGTAACAAGATCCTTAAGCATCCTTGAAAGGGTAGATATTGTGCAAAAATATCATCGCATTAGCAGAACAAAAACGATTGAGTACGCAGATAAGGAAAGTTATGAAAAGAAAATTCTATTCCCCCGAAATTAGCTAGCATTTTTCACAAAGCTCGGCCGTAATAAATGGCGAACGGTTTGCTTAATAACGGTTATCATTGTTGGACATTTAATGAATTGTCTTAATAAAAGCTTAAATTAAGCTTTGCCAATCTATTTCAAGGCTTCGTACTTCGCTTTGAGTTTTACGAACATACCTAATTTGAGTTACTGCATACCAGTAGTTCTACTGTAAATAGCTCTAAAAATAAGCGTGATGTTTACACCGTTTTGAAGCGCGTGTCGTTAGTAAAGCTGGAAACGTCAGTCGAGTGACATCGAGCCGCCAGCGTACATGAGACAACCGCACAAATCAATTAGTGCAAGTATCCTAACGCAACATTCAAATTTGGAACGGTCGTGAAAGAAGCGCGGGAAAAGTTGCGTCGAGTTTCTTTTGTTGTCGATGCTAGCTGTTTTGTTTATGGCAAGATGAATGTTAGGAATTCTATTTTTGGATTTACTCTTTTATTTTTATTCTCTGGTAAGCATACTTTTGTTTTTAATTTTGCTTTAATCTGTAGTTATAGGTGCTTGAAAGAATAATTATTATCTGTTGTTTTTAAACGGTATATACATATATTATATTTTTATGCTATATATTATATACATAGATTAGTAAATATAGCCGTATAGTTGGTGTTATTCCCAGTACAGAAAGTCAGACAAGCCTATCGATTTTCTTTTGATATTTGAAACTTGCGGTGACAAAAGGTATGGGATTTACGAAAGGGAAACAAAAAACTAACTAACATACAGATCAATTGATGTTAATATTTGTTACCTTAAATAAAACTACATTAACGAAACATAAAAATGTTTTATTTAGCTTTTAATCCGATAATTATCTAAGGATCACGTAACAAATTATATACACTAATTGCAAAGAATATAAATATACTTTTTGATAAAAATTCGTGACACACCTAAATATATTTAGGTATCTACATTACTTAAGATAAGGCAATACTGTAATAAATTCCAGTATTCTTATTTTTAAATAAGTACGCATTTTTGCCTACTTATTTAATACACTTTTATATAACGCTTTCATTTCTAAGAGACATGTGTGAAATTAATGTCTAATAATGTAGGATAAACGAACCTACATACCAACAGCACCGTAATTTAGAATGTAACAGACAGACGAGATCACTAATCATGAAGGACACACGATCATGCGATACGTATGAAAATGTATCACTTGTAATTCATTCCTATTCATTTCATCTGACGTTGCTACATTATGCAATTTTTAGTTCCACCGGATGTCAATTGTACAAATGGCAAACAATATTGTTTAGTAACTGTGTTAGTTACCTTCGTGTTTTAAGTATTAGTTTTCAATATACTAGCTGTGTCAGCGACTTCTTCCGCGTAGAATTTTTATTATGGGCATCCAAAGTTGTTTTGCAAACCTCTTCATCGCGTCCCGTCGATCTTGTAAGTTAAGCTTAAAAGATAGATATATAATGTTGCGGACTTTTTTTAGATCATTTAGAGAGGAATTATTTTTTCCTACATATTTTTTGGGTATCATGAGCCGTTTACCTACTATTAGATTAATCGTTTTCGCCGTTTTTTCCACAATTTTCCACGCTTTCTTTGCTCTTATTAGTCACAGTGAGATGTTTCATAGTCTATAACCTTCCTTGATAAATGCTCTAACAACTCTTTTAAAAATATTTTTTCAATTAGTACCAGTAGTTCCTGAGATTAGCGGGTTCAAATAAACAAACAAACAATTTTAAAAGTTCAGAGACATTTATTATAAGCCAAGTTTGATGTACTACTTTAATCACTATTATTTTATACATTTAGCGCACCTTTATTCCGTTTTTTTGGTTTACCTAACACAATTCAAGCTTCTTTAACAAGAAAGTTAAGTTAAAAGTTTTAACTAGCTCAACACCTATTTACAAGTTAACTTTAAACTTTGAGGAATAATAGTCTACCTAAAGTTAAACGTCTATCTAAAACTTTGTCTAAGATTTGATGAAGTCTCATAAAGTTTAAAATAGCATTCAAGTTAAGTTATTTACGCGACTAGTACACTTTTAAATAAAACACTATTAACGGGTTAAAACGCGAAATGGATTAAATTTATTTACAAATTATTTAAACGTCGGGCTGTAGTTAAAATAATTTGTACTTAGTTTAACTAAACTAAACTTTCGTTATAGCTAGGAATATCCTTTCAACTTATAGCCTCAATCTACTTCTACAGTCAAAGGTCTGTTGTTGTGTTAGTCAATCCAATCTCTTGTACATCACATCGAATTATTTTCTCTTGACGTTTTCTCACTGAACAGTATCAGAATGTATAAATGATATATAATTATACTAATAGGAGCGAGAGAATAAACTCCTCAAGGATTTTTTGTGACATGTTGGACTTATGGAAATCTGAATTGGTGGGTGAAAAAGCTACACAGATGAAAAAGCCGTGAACCTTAATCGCGTTTCGGTTTGAGTCTGTGGATTTTCGAATATCGAAAGCCAAAATAGGTCAATAACGTATCTTGGTTAGATGTTATATGGCTGTTTCACCGTTAAGTGAATTCCATGCTTCTCTGTCCTCCTCTATAATTAAAAAAAAATCTGCAAACTAAACAATAAATCAGCTTCAATAAATAACGTCACATAAGCAAAACACTATCGTTTTAAATAAGCTAACGAAACTAGAAAATACTGCTTCAATGTGTTCATTTGAAATGAGTCTCGGCTGGCCAGTTGAGCTCGTTAACTTTGACGGTGGCAATTCCTAAAATTGTGTGCGCCGTATTATGTCATGGCGTTCTAATAAAGGCTAAATATGCCTCAGTTGAGAGACGAACAGAAATAAATTGACTCTGATTCGATTCATTGCTCTAACGGCTTTGGATTTCATGTGATGATATTTGAATATCGTTAAGGCGTTATTTGATAACGCTAAATGTAAGCTGTGGCAGATAGTTGATTCTGGTTTGTTAATTAAGATGTAAATATTTACTTGCAAGTGTTTGAAACAGCCAACTATGGTAGTTTATGACTCGACCTTTTCAGTGATTTTTTAATTTCTACGTATCTATTTATTGCTCGAGAATATCGCTAATTATTTTTTAAATATTGATCTTGAAGTACAATGATGGTTCTAACGTAAAGTTATAACAAAAGTCTAAAAGCGACACATTCTTATAAACTTAGACTCATACTCTGTAGCAAATTGTGATTGTGATTTGAAATATTCAATTTATATTGAACTTTAATACCATTACATAAAGTTTAGGCGATAGTGGAAAAGTTCCGGCATGTCAATAATTGTTAAAAACAAAACATCATTTAAACATGAAAGAAAATAAGTAGGCAAGCGGAAGAAATATACTCATAAAAGACTGTCAGTGGTAGACGCGAGTAGTACACATTTAAATAATACACTTTAACGGTTTAAAACACGAAATATATTAGTTAAACAGCAGCTGGAACGTGAACACGGCTGCAGTAAAGCATCCGAAACGTCGAGTCGTAGTTAAAATAATGTATAAATAAGTTTCGCGTTTTAAACCTTACAAGTGTTTTATTGAAATACACATAATCTTCTTAAACCCCGCAAGGGTAACTTCAAGCTTCCACCAGTTTATTCCAAGATCATAACGAGTCAGAATAATAATTTATTTATCTCGAAGTTGCAATCTCAGCTTATTCCCAGGGAAATGCATTGTTGCTTCATGAACGCGAGTTTAAACTTAGGACGGTTCGCAAATAAACGTTAGCTTCGTTGAGGCGAACTTGATAAGTTAATTCCGAAAGTCTTTGTTTTAATAAATAATGGCTTTGTTGCCAATTAGAGTGAGGGCTAAATTGATATTGTGTTCCGTTTCTCACTATCCAATTAATTTACAAATAGAGAAACTCTCGATCATAGAACGCGTTGAAAGTTTTAATTAACTAAATACGATGTTCGTTTCATACTTATAACGACGTTAAAATGTCATGAATACGGAAGTGAGATGGTAACTAGTTTTTAAATAAGCAACTTTACGTTCACTAACTTTAAAGTAAGATGGAGTAAGAGAAGAGGGTAAGGATGAATACAATACTACAAATAAATTTACAAAGCTGCTTGGTTTTACGAGTTTATACTAAATATATTTCAAGTAGCTATATTATGAATTACCTGTGCCCGCGACTTTGATCGCGTGGAATATTTGTGTTGGGTATATTATTTGTTTGTACAAGCAACATCCTAGGCTTTATAAATTGCTAACTGTACCAGCAACCGCGTAAAATAGTTATTTTGGCCATCAAAATTTGTTTTTGCAAACTTCTTCCTCATCTTTATAAATTATAGGTATTATCCACGACGTCGGTCGCGTCCCATCATCCTTGCAAGTTAATCTTTGAAGATGACATTTATTCTCGGGGACAATTTTTTAAATCCTTTGAAAAAGGAATCATTTTTCAGAAATAAATAAATGTGCCCGTTAGTCCCACTGTTTCTTCGCTCTCATCGGTTGCAGTCTGATTTGCCTTAAAGCCTTCCTTTCATAACTCTTACTAATTTCTTTTTTTTTTCAATACGAACCAGTACTTCCTGAGATTTGTGCGTTAACAAACTATAGCATATAATATTAGTATAGATGATAAAGCGAAATTACATTACTATTTTTAATATTCATACATTGAAATAATATAGGCAGCAAAAAAGCAACACACATATTAAGTAGTCCATATACTGGTTGTTATTCTTCGTATAATAGGAAGGAGAAATATTTTCTTTCCTTTGATGTTAGCCGCTTTATATTCCGCGGCCCAATTAAACTCTCATAATATAAGGCAACGTTCTTGTATTTATATCGCAATTAGCGCTTTAAGCTTCATTATTTACGCTTATCGTCGCCTGTTTTAGATGCTTAATTAGTCACTTCACTAGCTTTAGCTTTGTGCTTAAACAACATTAGTAGACGAAGTGATGTTCCTAATTTTCTTATACGGAAATTAGATTATATATGAAACATTCCTATAATTACATACTATTTTTAAAACAATATTCATACATCATTTTAAAAATCTATACTAATTAATAAAGCTGAAGAGTTTGTTGGTTTGTGAATGAATTATGAACACCAGAAAGGCAAACTGCAATATAAAATAACGATCCTAAACACAAAGAACATGTGAAATCCCGCTTCTCCTCGTGGGCATGGCGCGAGCATATTTCTGTGTCCGTTTCACAAATCGGTTCTTTTACAGGCAAGTACCTAATTAGACTTCTATGCCCTGCCCGACCGAATTGAATCCAGGATCTCTCGTACTTAATGCAATGCTAGGCAAGTTATAATACGAATTATAATTGAATATGAATATCCAATTTGACTGTTAATATTAGTGGAAAGTAATGATCAATATAGGATTGTGTGTGTATGAATTCCGTTTCCCCCTCGTGGGGCATGGGGCGAACACATTTTTGTGTCCGTGTCCCTGATCTTTTATTTAACAGGCAAG